ATTAATTCCTGAAAATTATCCTGAAACACAGTGGTCTAACCCCTTAAACACACAAACGTCTTATTTTCTTTCTAACTTTTTCATGAACATGATATTTAATACAACCAATTTTATGTATCATCTATCATAATAATTCAAAATTACAATTATAATCTTTCTTATTTCTCTCATAATAATAGTTTTTCGTAATAACAGGCACTTGCGACTGATATCATTCCTGGATTACCAGCGTTCCAACAGCCAATTATGTCAATGGAAGAAGACGACGTTAGCGATCAAGAAATCGTAAGTTACCCACGAGTTTACGTACGAAATACTCTCAAAGATCTTTGAATAGTGTTTTGTTTTATTAATTAATGCTTTAGGGTCAATTGGAAGATCATGGACCGTTTCAATCTTTATCCAGGCTGTGGGGACATCATGCACACCTTGCTGTATTTATTAATTACGTATTATCTAATAGTGATCCTTCTAGTTTGGTACGTATAACTATTCATAATTATTTATTATATCTATTTAAATTAGTACGTTCCAAAGTGCAACTGTTTTTTACGACGAGAAAATTATATGAAATTAATAAATTACATATGTTTATATTAATGTGATACATATTCTTGCAGTTATTTTATTTAATAACTGATTTGTACAAGGAGGGAAATGCCAAAGAGATGAAGAAATGGGCATACGAAATTCACTCTAGTTTTCTAGTACCTGGTGCGGTAAGTAATTAAATGTACGATATAAAAGGTTTTTTATAAATTATTTATAATTTCTTGTATTTGCACGATTATTATATTCATCATACATTCTTTTTACAATAATTATAAGCCTAATTATATTGTATCTTATTTGCATTTACTTAATATTTGAATATATAATTATAATATTATTAATACTTGTTCTCATATTATTAATATTATTAATACTGTAAAATTCCAGCGTTATTTTTAATATCTTTTTTTTATGCAAATAATATAATAATTGATATACTTTTTTTTATTTAGCCGTTACGTCTGCATAATGTGGATGAGAATGTCGCGAATGAGATTGATGATGTTCTCTTGAAAGAATCTGATAAAGAAGAAATTCTCAGAAAGGTACGTTTAAGCATGAAATAAAATAAATTATTGGCAGAAATTAACATACAGAGTATCTCAAAAATTCTTATTTTAGAGCACAATAATGAAGAAATTTATGGAATATCGAGTAATGAACATTTCTATGAGCTTTTTATCTCGAGCAATAATTTTTACGCTATAAGTGTTAACCGTATTTTTTCCAGATTTGATAAATGCAACGGATATTGTGACTAATTTTTATTATTTCTCTATGCAGATATTCTGGAAGGCACGTACTAGAGCGAAGGAAGAGTTGAACGAACAGCTGACGCATTTCCAGCAGAAGAGAACCGCAGGACTGGCCACAATCTTCGGTCCAACCGATATTTCGCTCGATGAGAGTATATCCGATAAAGCGCGGGAAACGAAAATTATTGAGACGTATCTTCTGCCGAAAATGGAACCTTATCTGTAAGACTTTATTTACATAGAATTTTAACAATTCTTTTATAAGGTATCATTAAGGATAAAAAGTAGTTGAAACGGAACATGTAACAACAGTAATATTGATGTGTTGTCTGACAATAAATTGAATAAAACTAAAGTGTAATAGTGGGATATATATTTGGTAAATGCACGATTTTCTTCTATTATTTTTTTATTTTAATTTAAATAACCAGTGCTTTTCGTTTTCTCGTAGAATTGTGTTTTGTGATTGGCTGCGTTTTGCCGAACCTCCGCTAGCTAAGCCGCTAGGTAGCAATTAAGTGCGATTGGTTGGATCCAAAAGTTAGAACGAATCACATTCAATTGCTACCTAGCGGCTTAGCTAGCGGAGGTTTGGCAATACGCAGCCGTTGCTTGGCATTGGAGATAACTATAGTTGATAATAAGAAATGTATATATTGACGATAGAGAACAGCAAAATTTTGGGAAATTTTCAGGGAAGACATAGAGAAGGAACATGTGGATTTGCGGCTCTTTACGACAGCAGCTGGTCTAGCAACTATATTAATAAAGATTTTCCAATTGCGACCAGTATGGATCGATCGAGTGCCTACTTTTGTTGCAAAAGACAAATCCAACATTAAAGCACGGCTGCTTACTGGAAAATCGCGTAAGATGACGATCAGAGGACACCACTTCGTAGCGCATCAATATTTCACGATAACTTACTGCAATCATTGTCAACTTATTATCGGCGGAATTGGCCCTCAAGGATATTTATGCAGTGGTATGTAAAATGTGTAATAAAAAGTTTCCAAGACTTTCCTTGAATAAAAATAGAAAAATTTTTCTTTAAAAATCAATTCCTATAAGTGGCAACAGTTTAACTGAAAAAGTTAATAATTGATAAAAAGATGTAGTTAATAATATAAATAATAATAATAATATTAATATTAATATTAATATTAACTAATATACATTTTACAAATTATTATAATTTTTGAAACATTGGTATATGTTATATAATAATGTTACATGTTATATATATAAATTAGTAAATTTACAATTTGATGTTAAGGGGATCCTATAGCGAAGGCCGAACTTCCTCGATGTCGATAATGTCAATATTTCTAATCCTGTTTTCTATGTTATATATATCTATATCTGTTCTTGTCTAACGAGAGGCATCTGTCCTTGTTTGTTTGTTGCGCCATCTCTCGTTACACGCAATACTGCTTATCCTATCGACCTGAATATGCTTTTGCACATATAAAAGTTAAATACACTAAACTTTTTTTCTAGGCTTTCAATCTTGGTTCTAATTGCGCGATAGTGTTCTTAAATGTTTTCCCTAGGGCGTACGTATCTTATTTTGTATATATAAACTGCAGTATTTTTGTATTAAGCAAATATTGTCGTCAGTGACAGCTCTATGCTCATATTTTTAATTTTTTTTTGTTTTTGATGTAAAATTGACCGGAACACCCTACATTTTTGTGCATACTTTAATTCTCTAAAAGAATTTTGCAATTCCCTAAAGCCAATTAAGTTTAATGCATTTAACTAAATGTTGGTAACGACTGCCACTATAGGATCCCCTTAAACTGTAAGACAAAGAATTGCTCTAGGTTTTTTTTTCTTTTTTTTTTTTATTATAACTTGTTTCTTTTTGTATCATAAAACATGATTTATTTGACTTATCATTTTATACATAATATAATTTTTATTTCTACATTATATAATATTTATACGTGATATATTTATTGCTTTATATATAATATAATTTTATAACACATGAAACATATATGTATAAACACTTATAAGCTGCTCTTTCTGCTGAATGCAACTAATGATATATTATTTGCTAATTGATTGACAGATTGTTCCCTCAGCGTACATCGGCAATGTGTTCGTGTAGTAGAGGAGAGTTGTCCTGGTCCTTTAATGCGAAAAGAAAGAGGCAATGATAGGATCAGTAAATTGATGGAACGTATTCGACCGGAGAGGAAACCTCCATCCTCTCATCATCATTCTCAGAATCATATATCGCATCGTAAGTTCAGCTTTTGACATTTTATGCAAATTGCATTATCTCTCAGTTATACTAATTACAAGACAGATACAAACAACTAAGCTTTCAATTATTTAGCTTTTAGCATTATAAAAGTTAACATTATAAATCATTTGTTTAATGGTTCAAAAGAGAATTTTGTCAACTTTTAAACATTTCTCATTCAAAAACTATAGGTTCAGTTTTTTTTATATTTAAGAGTTTTCATTTAAAAATGATTTCGAGAACCTGCCATTAACGGGTATCACGGTAGTTTTGGGAATTATGAATTTTTGTAAAATTATTTATACATCATAAATTCTGAAATAATGAATTTATGAAATAATTAATTTTTTAAACATAAATTCCTAATCAGTTGGAATATATAGAGCATAGAGCCGTAACAAGGTGTCAACATTATTAATTCTATATTTGAGTTAAGATATAATCTACGTTATTAATTCTATATTTGAATTAAGATAATCTACAGACGTTTTGGTCTATTATAGGACCATCTCCAGTGTCAATCTTATTATAATTTTACAGTGCCGTCCACTCACAATACAGCAATTCAACTAATGCGTTAATTTTATTATTGTAACTATGCGATAATTTTCTAACCGACTGACTATTTTTGTATTTTGACACTGAAGATGGTCCTATAATGGACCGAAACGTCTGTAGATTATTTTAACTCAAATATAGAATTAATAACGTTGACACCTTGTTATGGCTCTATGCTCTATATATTCCGACTAATTTTTAATCTTTTGAGCTATTCTTTCTTATATAAATTCCTAAAATGTTAATAATTAAATAACATAATAGTTAATAATTAAATAACATAGATTCTTGAATATAAATTTATAATTAAGAAGAGATAATTATGCTCTCTTCAAGATTGAAAATTATTTACGATTATGAATGATCCACAAAAATAACGGTGCATAATTACATTGTTTCCTGCAGAAATTTATTTTAAATTATTAATTTGTTATTGATTACTGGCTGATTCTAGGGGGGAGTTTTGAGGTAAAATTCCGGCTTCCTTCGAAATAAAAATAATTAGTTTTGCTGGATCTGTTTAAAAAATCTAGGAAAAAATGCATTAAATTTTAAAGTAGGCCTGTCGATTTGGGCGCTCGTGGACTCCCGGTTTCATGGACCCGTTCCTTCATTCTGCACGTTCCCTCCTCCAATCCTGTATATGTCTTCTATCCCTATCATATAATTAAAAGAAAGTAAGAATAGGATTAGAAGTTTCGGTAATTATTTACAATAACTAACACAGCTCGGATTACTTTGACCTTGACATATGTTGTCAAGGTCACCCTCCTGAGTGACCTTCAGAAGGTTTTAGCCGGCGGTCATTGTTTACCAAAAAGTTATAAACAAAAAAGTTTGAAAAATATAGCAGCTATTTTGAGTATAAAGCATAAATGACTAATATATATGTCGAAATAGTTCACGCATACACTTTTCACGCGAACCGAGGTTCACCCACACCCCCCTGCTTTCGGGGGAGGTGCGGTAGCCCTTCCCTCGCTTACGTGTAGAGATATGTAGGTTAGTGACACGCTTTAAAAGTATTTAAGTGTTTAAAGCGCGTCAACTAACCTATGTAGGTTAGTTGACGCGCTTTAAGCTGGCCACACACACTTTCCGTAGAACGTAACAGTAAAATTTCGACCAATTGCGTTACTCGATTCGGGAACGTACGGCCGAATCGAGTAACACGATTGGTCGAAATCCTACTGTTACTGTTACGAAAAAGTGTGTGTCCGGGGCCTTAAACACAAATACTTTTAAAGCGCGTCACTAATCTATACGCCGAAGGCGTGTCCATAGGGGAGGTGTGGGGGGGGGGCGAAGCCCCCCCGCCCACGCATGTACTTTGATATATTGTATAGGATATATCGGATGAAAGCTAATTGTAAGTGATATGCATTATAAGTATACATACGTTTTTTAACGATATATTAAAAAATACAAGCGACCCCCAAATTTTTGTCAACAGTTTTGGATTTGGGGGGCAAAAATACATAGAATTTACCTCTTTTCAATTGATTTCTCGTTGGGGCCCTAATTGTAAATATTTACCAAACAGTACACACGTAAGCGAGGGAGGGGCTACCGCACCTCCCCTGAAAGCAGGGGGGTGTGGGTGAACCTCGTTTCGCGTGGAAAGTGTATGCGTGAACTATTTCGACATATTTCTTAGTCATTTATGTCTTCCAATACTCAAAATAACTGCTACATTTTTCAAACTTTTTTTGTTTATAATTTTTTAATAAATAATGACCACCGGCTAAAACTTTCTGAAGGTCACTCAAGAGGGTGACCTTGACAACATATGTCAAGGTCAAAGTAATCCGAGCTGTGTTAATTATTGTCAATAATTACCGAAGTTTCTTCACCACGTTCTTGTCGTTGATTCTGGAGTAAAAGCTAAGCGTGATACTAATTGTAAGAAAAATATCAAACTAATAGCGAATTTGATTGGATACACTAAGTGCACACTGATGCAC